TATATATATATATATATATATATATATATTTTTTTATTAGCAGTTTAGAGGTTCGCAGCAGAGTGTGACACAGCTGGGATGAGGATCAGTTCCTCCAAATCTAAGGCCATGGTCTTGAGCTGGAAAAGGGTGGAGTGTCTTCACCAGGTCAGGGAGGAGGTCCTGCCCCAAGTTGAGTTGAAGTATCTCGGGGTCTTGTTCACGAATGAGGGAAAAATGGAACGAGAGATCGATAGGTGCCGTGGTGAAGAGACAGCTGAATCAAAAGGCGAAGCGCTCAATTTACCAGTCGATCTACTGTCCTTAAGATTCCCCTGGAAGAGCTGGCCCAGGCGGCTGAGGAGACGGAAGTCTGGGCCTCCCTACTTAGGCTGCTACCCCCGCGACCCAACCCCAGATAAGCAGAAGAAAATGGATTTTTAAAATTTTTATTGGGACTTGTGCAAAGTGGACAAAACGGACACAGCTGTGACATCTGCACTGAAACTATTTTACAGAGTGCAGCTCAGAGTTGTACAGAACTCCCAGATGTGCAGACAGATGTATGACAGGTGTGCTGGGACAGGTAACACCGTCTGGAGCCAGTCTCAGGTTCTGACCTGTGATCTGTAACACCTGACTGAAAACAGGCGGGCTGTTTACTGACTGGAGGAACAGCTGATGAAAAGGCGGGAAACGCGTCTTGTGTCACTCCGTCTGATCACAGTGATCGATGAGGAGCTGGAGCCTCGGTGTGTGCTTGCGGACGCGGTAGCACGCGCTGGGATGAGTCGCTCTTCACATTTGATTCTGTTTTTCTTCTCGGACGCAGAAATGAGCGCCATGGTTACACGCATGCGCACTGCAGTGTTTCCAAACAAACAGGGAGGGGGAGGAGGAGGGCAACAAAAGGCTGCGGCTGCTCGTCGAAGCCCGCGCACAGCAAACCGACACCGCAGCTGTCGGTACCGCTCCATGAGCGGCTGAACCCGTTCAAAGTGCCGGAAACACCCAGAGCCACGGCGGCCTCCCCGTCTGTCGGGCTGCAAGCGGCCATTTGAGGCTGTCCGCTCGGTCTGTGTTTCAACACGCAGCTGCTGCTCACAAGATGGCGGACACGCCCCTGTCGCTGCTCTGCGTGCCCTCGTCAACATTTCTGCTTTGAACTACAAAACCTCGCTCGCCACGCAACCAGAACCTGCTTCTTCCGCAAGCCGAAACCTTCATCCACCTGCCGGTGTGGTCGGAGGATCTCTACAGGCTCTCCGACTCTTACCTTGAACGGTGGAACGGCAGACAGTTGCGGGTTCTCTGCTTTTGTTTCGGGTTCTCCGCTCCGCTCCCTCCCCGCCTGCTCAGACATCTTTACAGGGATCCTGGCGGAGCTACCGCGCATGCGCGGCGGCTGATCCGCTTCCTGTGCGGACGTGTACACTACCCGGCGCCATATTTAGGAGGTCAAACGTTTGTAAACAGGGAAAACTGAACCAGCATAAAACGAATATTTTTAATATCTAAATAGTCTTTATCCCTCGTTGATACTTTTAAATACAATGAACTGTAGTGATTGATCTATATTTTTATTTTGTACATTTATAACAGGCCTCTCAACAATGAGACCACATTAAAAAGATTGTATGATAAAAAAATAAAATATTACTTTATTTTTTTAAGGTGTTGTCACGTGGTTTTAAGTTTCAATATATAATTGAATAAAAAGTACTGCATTTAAAATCTGGCTTCTGAAGTTGAGGTTAGGGCCCCGCTGTGGGTCATGAAGCACCAAGTGAGGGTCCTCAAAATGCTTTCAGAAATTAAATGTTGAAATGATTGCTAAAGGTTTTGTTTTACATCACTGTTACAATGGTTCATTTTGTTTAACAGATGTTTTTATTATAGAACAAAGGTTCTTTACAGAAAAGTGTGTGAGGTCAGGAAGGTTGTTGTGAGACTCAATGTGAAAATAATTTATTTAAATACAGTTTTAATCCTTTCCTCTGTATTAAAACGATTCCATTAAACCGCCACTGGATGGCATGGGTCTGTTAACAGCCAAGAGAAGCCGAGTATAAAAGCTGAATGTAGGCAGGGTCTTAGTGTGGGACCACAGATAGAGAATGTTAGAACTTTGGGTTTGTAAAATCTTTATGACACACCTGAGCTCTGGTTTCAGGTCCTGGTCCAGATCAGCTCTCAGGCTGACGATTTATGTCAATATGAAACAAAATTATGAGATTCAGTTGAACAATGTTTATTTTATAATGTTCACAGTCTGAAACTGAAAACTCTTCATTTTTAGTTTGTAAAACACGAGTACATTCACTTCTGTAAACAACAACATCAGAGCAGAAATGATGTGCAGTTTTCAGATTGTTTAAGAATTAATTCATACAGAATGTCGGTTTCAAACAAAAGACAGATGACAGGTATTGAACAGGTGATCGACCCGTATCGAATGGATCAGACAGGCGTCAGTCAAATATTAGACAGGTGTTATTTTGCTGTCAGGTGATAATAAAGTGTCAGGTGTAATCAAGCAGTAAACAGGTGATAGAGGCGTTGGTCAAGAATTAGATGTTGGGTGACAGGTGTCGTTCAGAAGTAAAAACAGATGTGAAACCTGAAGGATTCACGTGACGGGCGTTAGACAGGTATGATAGTCGGGCGTTAGACAGGTGACAGTCGGGCGTTAGACAGGTATGACAGTCGGGCGTTAGACAGGTATGACAGTCGGGCGTTAGACAGGTGACAGTCGGGCGTTAGACAGGTGA